TTGTAAACTATTTTCTAATCTTGCTCTGAGCCACATATCACAGAAGCCCAGGAGGATTCAAGGACACAGATCTGATAAAGAACAAAAAACTTTTGAGTAGAGAAGCAACTTTTCTTCCGTGTTTCCACATCTATCTTAAAGGGTTTTGTGATTTCAGTGCTAGTGAAGCAAAGGAAGGATATTCTGGGAGTAGGTTGTGTTGCACAATGTAGGCAGGTTACGTGCAAAACATGCTAAGGACAAACGTTGTCCTTAGCAAACATTGGTCAATGCTGCTTTCTCAGCTGGTTCAAGAAATACAGACGCTGGAGTTGAATTTCAGTTGATGAAAGTGGCTGTGTGTTCCTTCCAGTAAATCTGTTTGTTAGCCTTTCCTTTGTATATTTAGCTTCCTAAAAGTTAGTTCTTTTGCTCCGTAGTGTTAGTCACACCTCAGATAACTTCAAAAATTCTTCCCTTATTTTCTGTTTGTATTTACATGCCCCCAACCCCATCCATATTTTCTGTTTACATTAATATCTGTGCTGTTCTGCTGTTGTTTCCACCCTGTCTTGTCCTGTGTTTTCTGCATTTCATTTTCTTTTCCAAATCAGCACCAGACTGCCCCCAGCAGCTCCCTTCTGTCTGGAAATATCAGGAAGAGCACAGAGCATGTAAGACCTGGTGTCTCCCCTTCTCAGAGGACAGCTGAGGCTAATTTTGCTAAGCATTAAAAACAGGAAGCAAATAATTCAGCAAGATATGGACACCTGGCATGGCAAACTTCAACATGGGGTTTTTGTTTTGGTTTTGTTGTTTTTAAAATTGTAAGCAGCATTTTAGAGCAGAAAGTCCTCATTTTAGCTGGAGACGCTGTGATCAGTGCACATAAATGCTGCCGTCATCTTGCTCCATTGACTTAAGTTATGTATGAAAGATCCAAGTGGTCACTAGATGTCTCTGATACGTCACTCAGTGCAGCTCAGCTGAAAAACACAGAAAGAAATCAAGTTTTGTCTTTATAGCAAATAGACAGCAAGACAGTATCTCATCTCTTCAACAGTAGTTGATGGCAAAATAGCATTCTACTGGGAAAGAAACCAAAACCTCATGGTTATGAACCAGATGAAACTATTATTCCATATATTTTGTTGTTGTCCTCCTTTATCTGCAGAAGGATAAATTCACTCAAGTCTTTACTACCATAATTACCACTGCCACAGGCTCCTCAAGGGTTAAACTTCCCTTGCCTTCCAGTACTGTTCACCTCCTGAGCAAAAGGGTAGAGATGAGTGAAACTTTCATTCCAGGTTTCACCTGGCATCACACCTGGATTATCACCCTCGAGCCAAATTCTGCCAAACCCGAGTTTCATAACAGGCACTTCAAATAAAATCCAAGTCCCCTTATCATTTTTTAAGGTGCTACTATAATTTCCAGGTATCCTGTATCTATTGTGCTTTAAAATCAGGTATGTTTGTATAACTGGAGGTTAATATGATTTTATAACAATGTGTTTCAACTTCTGGTAATCACTTATCACTTGCAATCAGATACTCTGAGGTCCAGACAAATATGTCTCTTGTACCATTACACAATATTCCCAAGAACATTGTTTTCCTCTGGTTCATAGGTATGGTAATAAGGCCATTAGTCTTTCTGCCACTTCTCAGAGTGGTTTCAAAACCAGCTAACAAATTTCCTGGTGGCAAATATTTCTTCTCCTACTTGCACTTATTGTTCTTCTGAAGAAAAGCTGCAAATAAATGGAAAACACAGATGAAACTTTACCCTTTCTTGTGGTTGTGGCACTACTAGGATATTGCAGCAGCAAGCACTGGTGTTTTTCCACCACATGAGTTCTTTTTTTTTCTGGAAAAGAACAGAACAGTAGCACAATTATTCTTTAAACTTGGCCCAAAAAAACCTGCAAGAGGCACAGCCCACAATTTATACAAGATAAAGTAGCTCTGCCAGTCTGTGTCACAATCCTGTCAGTTATGTTCACATAAGGCTGAATATGAACTCAATTTTCTCAAGAACCATGGGGCTTGCTTGTTTTTGAGGGTTTTTTTAATCAAATTTCTAAAAAAATCGGGAAGTCACAGAAAAATTCTCATTTGCTGTAATTGAAGGTTAATTTCTTCACATATGGTAGGGATTGATGGGAGCTGGTGTGAGCTATTGCTAATAGTATTCCTAAGCTAAAACAACTAAATAAATTATACCATTATAAAAGAAGATATAACTCTGGACCAGAGAGAATTCTCTCTGAAATAAATATCCATATTTTTTATGGCCATGGCCTCACTGTTAAATATACTGTAATAACAACTGTATTCAATTCATCTTATGTGAGACACAATCCATTTGCTTCAAGAGGGGTTGAATTTTTGCCATCCTTTTACTTATACTAAGATCTAAATTCTTAAAATTGGCCTCTATAGCCAATGAGTAACTTATTTTCTGATTTAAACATCTTACTTTTACTTTGCATTTGTGTAGCAAATTATTATAAACTAAGAAAAAAAGACTAACCTGGATTTTTCCTGGTCTGATCATTATAAATCGGGGATTACTGTTGCACTTACTTCTAAAAAAAGATTTTATCAAAATTATATATATACTACCATAACAGAACACAGAAACAATCTATTCTGTTTCTTCTTGTGCCCAACCTCTCCACCCATTAAAAAAAGTCTGTTAATATGTAAATGGAAGATTCAGATCTTTCACAAAAAATAGACCAAAATTCTGGTGTTTTAAACAGCAGTTTAGGGTATAAATTGATAGGGTTATACACAAACACAAAAAAAGCTATCTCAAAGGAAAAAATAACCATTTCTGGATAGTTTTCCTCTGTGGAACTGCAAAGAATAAGCAACATTCTACTGAGTATCTACCTACACGAGGATTTTAATTGCCATGTATGAAACCCATGAGATATAAACAGGCTTGTCTGTAGACTATTGCTTTTATTAGGGAATTTTATTTCTTCCACATGTGGTGGTTGACACTGGACTTTTTTTTTTTTTCTCTGAAGTTCATGAAAGTTAGGAGATAAAAGTCCATGCAAAAGAACATGAACATCATTTTTTATGAAGAAGGCAGGGAACTGGCAGAAGTCCCTTTGATATCTTCAGTTTTATGTATGAGGTGTAGTCAAGACTTTGGGCACAGAACAAGTAGGGGCTTCAGAGTGGTAGAAGGGGAAGGCCAGAGTGCAGCAGGAGAAGAGCTGAGTACAATGTTATATGGGGATATTTTATGAAAATAACTGAGCTGTTTCATTTAATTGCCCAAAATGCTACAGACCAAGTGTGAATCATAAAGGGGGAACTGCTGCCTAGCAGTTCATAAAGAAAAACACCACATCTGAGGTGTTTTTATTTTTTAGCAGCATATATGTTCTTGATTTGGTTTTTTCCTTTTCTCAGTAGTAATGGCTAAAATGGAAAGAAACTGGAATCTCAGAGCTAGCCTAGATGCTTTTCTTATTGATGTAATAAATATTAGCTTTTGACTGAAAAAAAAATAAATCTTTTTTTTCTTAACTGGATAAACCCCCCCCCCCAAGTGTTTTGAAGTCTAAATCTGTTCACATATAGATGATATATTGTGTTAGGCCATTTTTAAGATTTTACACATTAAGGATTTTAACAAGAGATTTCTATAGTCAGCTTGAAAACACCAATGTGGTAGAAATAAAGCACTCATTAAGCAAAGGAATAGAATACTCCACAACTAGTTGGAGATCTATGTAAATGAATATGCTTATTTGCTTCTGATAGTAAAAGATCATGTTGGTAGTGTTCTTTTTTCCTTGGGTGGGGGTCCCTTTCTCTAACATGATGCCTTTTTGTGACAGGTAATCACCTTGCTTTAACAAAGAATCTGCATGAGTAAAAGACTCAAAAATTGCTAGCAACATTTACTTACTTAAATACTAATAAATAAAAATTAAGTGGTAGTTTTAAGTAGACCTTCTGCTCTTTCCAGAAGCTTGAGTGCAGCTGGTCAGAGCTAAGCCCAGGAAAATTAAAAATTAGCCTTCCTTTTTCTCAGTGTACCCTGAGAGTCAGAATTTTCATCATGGCATAACCTATTCCCTTCCCATTTGAAACTTTTGGCTAAAATGGTATCATGCTCATAAGTCTCAAAGCAAGCTACTTTGTAAGGCATGTTCACACTTTGAAATCTATCTAACATGGTACTGGGTGTACTTTTTCAGCTTCCTTGGGCCTTCCTGCACAGAGGCCAAATGTGGAGAAGGAGCAGGATATGAAGTATTTATAAATGTATTTTTAACTCTACTCCCCTCAGGTAGTATGAAAATGATAATGGGTTGGCCCAGGACCCCTCATGGCAAGGTAAGTATGTGAGAATTTGCTACTCGTGGTACTCTACTGAGCTGCCCCTGCTCACCAGCTACCCAAGCTGAGCAAGCAGTGAAAACATTTTGTAAAAGATAAATATTTTGTAAAAGATAGTTTTCTGAGGGAATGTGCTGCTTTAGCAACAAAATGCAATCTTTAGCATTTTATACACATACCTCTGTCTACTTGGATCTAATGCAATATTTAGCTTAGTGTTTTATAGAGAGTAGCTTCTGAAACTAAGACAATTAATTGTAACTGGTACTGTTAACATTTTCATAAAGCATAAATTAAATGTGGATGCTGAATGAGCCAGTGTGTGCTTAAATATCACACAAGCTCTATAATTGAAAGTGAGGTACAAAAAAACCTGAGACCATAATTGCTCCAGTGAAGTCAACTCTGGGCATCTCTTTTAAGGCAGAAACCATTAAGTACTTGGAAACTCTTCCACTATGAAGCTATGGGCAATTTTAACTTCAGATTTCTCCAATATCCCAAGTCAGACCTTGTAATTTTCCTCTAATCTTCACAAAGGCACAGAGACAGTCTGTAATGAAAAATGAATTCTGAAGTATTCCCAACCCTCCAAAAGAGAGAAACACATCAGATTAAGGACATTTTAATTATGTTAATCACCTACCACATTTAGCATTTTCTTAAGGATAAAAAATTACCTAAATATGATTCATTTTAGATTTTAAGATACAGAAAATTTGCAGAAATTTTATAAACCTAAGATACAGCATATTTCATTGTCTCCACACTCTGAAGTGGCTGAAAGTCTATTCTTTAAAATTCACAGACTGTGAGACGATACAGGTTGCACTTTTTGTCATTCCAGCTCCCATCCTTGTACATCTCTACACATTTTTCTTTCCCTTTGCCATTAGGCTCATATTGGTGCCATTTGGTATAACTCAGAGGCATGCCAGTTATATATGTAAACTGGCCTGAAGTCTCCCACTCTTTAATGCCCAAGTAAGCATATTGCTTATACTGTTTCACAATGTCCATAATAGCTTTATTCTCCTCCTCATTCATGGGAGTTGCAAGAGTTCCTCCAGCCTCTTCACAGGATCGTAGTGCAGATGCAAAATCAGCTTTCTTTCCATTGGTAGCAAACACTTTCTCTCCCACTTCTCTTATTTTCCCATTCAAAGCAAGTGCTGAAACATGAAAAGAAAAAACCTACTTAGCTTTTTAAATTTTCTATGGCCTATTGAAGAAAAAGCAAAAAAAAAAGAAAAATCAAGACATGAAGAGAAAATTAAAAGTGGTAAGAGTAGGCAAAAGTGAGAGTAAAGGATTAAGAGAAAAAAAGATCTTAAATTTTACCCATCCACTAGTTTTTCCCTAAGTATATTGTTATGCTCCTTGTGACCATCTGTCCTTGTCTCCAAGACAAGGATGCCCCACTCACATTTGCTACATATTCTATGAGCCCCGTTGTATTGAGTGTGCTTTCTAAAGAGGATCAGTTTACTTCAAATTTGAGCAAGAGAAACAGAGAAGTGATAACTTTTTGTGAATTCTTTCTCAATAAGAAACAATTTACCACCCTCAACAATCTGGTTGCTGATAGATAAAAATATAGGGTACAAAACTGAGGAGTTCCCAGGAATCTATGTGGAAAATACAACATCAGTTGGAATATTTTTAATAAATAAATATTAAAAATATAAATATTTTTAATAAATGTGTGTTACTGTTGGTAAAAGAAATCTGCTACTTCAGGGAAACAGGGTCTTGATCTCCTGAGCTTTGGATGAGAAAATGGAATTTTGGGACTCAGTACCATTTTCAAATGCAATTTCTTTCCTACAAGTCATGAGTCTATAATTAACTTTGCCTGTTGTGCTTAGAACTGTTCGTGAGCTGAAAAAGTAACAAGGGGAAGAATTACCGGCTTCAAGTTGGAAAAGTCGGTGTTCCAAATTTACTAAAAGATTGTGGCATCCAGTGTCCAGAGAACCAGGTAGACCTACACAGATAAAAATAAAAGTTATACAATCAAGCAAAACTAGGCTCTGCTGATAGGAACAATTCCCTTGATAAAACTAATACCTTTCCAGAACTAGCATGTAACAGTACTTTTTTTACACCATCAAGTTTAAAATAAATATTTTCCCATTAATTTTTTCATGTTGTTGTTATCTATATTAAAGCAAATTAACAAAAACCTCCAATCCTCTAAATGCTACTAATTCCCCTCTGCACAGAAGCAACTGAATTTTTCGAGGTTGAAGAATTTTGTTTGAATCTGTGAAACTGGCTTTGCAAAAACAAATTTGTTTCATTCTACTAAATAGTGGTGAACAAGCACAAGGGAGATTTTGGGGAGGGAACAGTTCCTATGGCACCATACCATTTTCTTTTAATGTGCAGGATGGATGCTCTGTGTTTTTATGGTGGGATCTTATTTTTATGAAAGCATAAACACTAGTAGCTGAAAGTTTCTGCATGGATAGTGTGAAATAGAGTCCATCCAGCAGTGCTTGCTAAAGGGGTACTTTAGCAGTACTGTAAAGCACTGTAAGGTAGATTCCTTTTTCATACCCATTTCCATGGGTAATGAAGGTCCTACATGTAGAATAAAGTCACAAATGTGCTCCCATGATCATGTTCCAATTATTCACAACTGAAACAAATAGCCAAGTAGAACCACAAAATACTGCTGCATCTCCAAGTTGCAATTTTGCAGCACTTACTGTACTTCACAGTCCATTAAAAAAAAAACCATATTTGACCTAATAGAGAGAGTTTATGAATAATTTTGATAGTGCTTTAGCCTTGTCAACAGTCTTGGAGAACGCATTTCTATGTAGAAGGAAAATTACACAGTGCAAAGTGTGTTCCTAACAAGCCTACTTTTGAATACTGGATAACATTTGCCTTTGTACTTAAAAAAAGAAAAAAAAAAAAGCCGACTTCTGTGAAAGAAGCAATTCCCTTTGGAAAGCCAATGGAAAAAGCCCTGTAAAGACACATTTATAGATATAATATTTATATCAAAGTATTTATAACCTGTTCACTTCCCCTCTTCTCCCAGATGAGAGCGGAGGCCTGTCTTTTGGGAGAAAAAAAATTAAACTGCCTGTTTCCTCCATTCAGTTTTCCTTCCTCTGCTTAACACAGCTGCTTCCTTGAGAGCACGTGTCCTTCTGTGTCATGCTGCCTTCATGACAAGGATCTGGTGCAAAAAAGGGAAGTTTCCTTACCCAGTACACGTGGCAGTCCTTTCAGAACATCTTTTCCAGGGATATCAGGCAGCCCAGAAATTTCTGGAAATTTACTCAGTGCGTGGCAAGTCACTATCAAAGCAGCTACTGCTGTGAGTACGTAGGATGAGTAAGACAACATGATTGCTCAGGCCAGCTGTAAGAAAACCCACACATTTGTCAGGCAGTGGTTTTGTAAGAAATCGTTGGCATTGGCTTATATAATTGAAAATTCTGGAAATTTACATTATTTCCTTGTTTAAATACGGTCTATAGTTCAGGTGTAAGAGATTGCCCAGATTTATTTTCTATCATTGTGTAGCTCATACATGAAACTCTTTTTAGTCTGATTCAGCTTGACACGCTCATTACAGAATGATAGTCACACATTTGGAAGCAGTGCAGATAAATTATCCCTTTTGCTATCACTGACTATTTGTTGGATTAATCCTCAAGAAATGATGGGCTTGGATGTAACTGATCACACTTAAGCCATTAGTTGGCTGTTAAGGACTATAATCACTCAATGATTTTATGATACCAACCTGAAAGGCACAATCTGTTACAGTGGTTATTGCAATGTTTTGGAGCTAGTTAGCAATCTCTTTAACCACAGTACTATTTAAGCACATTTGTTTGACATAAACAGGCTGATAGTGTTTTACACATGGGCAAAATTTTATAGCTCAATTGACATTCCTATCTTGTTTTGAACAAAATTCCACAAGCTTGAAAATGTCAGAGTTATTCTTGTGGAAAATGCATTTTTGCTGGTTGGCAATAGGCCTATTCATCTTATTTTATCCTTTCAGATATAACATTAATCAGGGTTATAATCCTAGTGCTGAGATATCATGACTAAAAAGCACTCAATTTATAAACATCAGGGTTTACAAAATAGCAAGTGGGTATGCTGTGCAGTTATGAAACCTGAATTGAAGGACTGTAAGTTACTGTGGCATGGAGATACCCAGTTATTGACATCATTCAGTTAAAATAATAAGAGATGTAAAGCAAGGTTCAAGAGACCAGAATTGGTATCCATTTCTAATAGGTGATCCTGTTGGGTTGATTCTCATACAAAATATGTAACTCAACACCCATACTTCACTTTTCTACTGGCATGGATTAGACAGGATTCTGCACTGCTCTCTCTCAAAAACTTCCATCCTTAAAAAGAAAATCAGAATTGACAATCATAATATGTTCTAAATCCAGCACCACTCAAAATTGAAAATAAAACTTTGACTGGCTTGAATGCTGCAAGATTTTAAAATCTGGGTTCATCAGTAATAACAAGATATTTGTTTCAAAGTATATATGCCAAGCAGAATCAAGATATCAGTTTATTACCATTTGTCAGATGGGCTGAACTTTTTGAAAAGAGAAGTATTGTTTATATCTTCCAGATTGATTCTGTCATAGAAGAGTTTTGAGATTATTCTTAATCTGCATCAACACTAGTTTTTCTAGGGCAATGTCTTATCAAAGGCAATTCAGTAGGACATACCATTGAACATAAGAATATTCAATTATGTCATAAATTTGTAGCATATAGTATCTGTTTAATTAATAGCAGTATCTAGTCCTCATGGTCAAGAATTTCCACTTTAAAGAGTGGGAACACACGAGCAGTATTAAAAGTGCTGTTGAGTTCTGTCTGTTGAATCTGAAGTATCTTGAGCTGTTCACCCTTTACTATACTGAAGGCTAGCAGACACCTCTGAAAATGCTGGCCAATGACTTAGAGCAGATTATTAAACCTACCTTAGGTGGCTAGGAATACTTACATCCCTGAGATAAGCAAATGCAATTACAACATGTACCCTTTGCCTGATGATCATCATTCAGGGAATTACATTTGAATGGACTACTGCATCCAGCTCATAATTGGATTATGATGCAGAGTCAAAGTCTTGATCAATTATAAAGCAAAATGGAAAAAAACCCAGCTCTTCAGTTTTAATCCACTTTTAATGACCTTCATCAGTCATCACTATCTAGTGGCCTTCAGGCGTGTCCTCATCTACTAAAATTGCTAGTATAAGCACAGTAAAAAATGACTAATAAAGGAAAATTTAATTTTAAAATGTAAGTATGACCACAGAAATAAAAAGAAATGGGTTTGCCTTCTAGCTGAAATTCCTTGTGATTTATGAAGAGGAAATTCAACTTACCCTTCTGCTTCAAAGTGAAATGAAAGTGCAGTTCACACAAGTCCCCTTTATATGGTGTCATGTTTGTTGAATGACACCACTGAAGTGGAGACTGGAGGCTGAGGGCACAAGTGAGTTCTTTTAGTTTTGCTCACATATATGTGATGCAAATACTGAGATCAGTTTTAAGGTTTGAGCAATTTCTTATTCTTTTATAACAATAGAAAGCCAAGGTTGTAGAAAATACAATCTAGAACTAACAGATAACTCCGGATTTGTAGACACAAACAAAATCTATAAGAACGTAAAGTAACTTTCTGTGATTCCAGGTCATATTGTAAAAATTGTTTCTTGTTTTACAAAAGCAAAAATGTCATATGACTACCAGTGGTTTTTGTGAAAAGAAAGGTACTCCTGTGAATTAAGGAAGCATGATACCTCCCAGATAGTCTGATCTGGAAGTCAGAATTCTAAACTTTGCTTCCCATTTCTGTGTATGATATACTTGCCTTACCTCAATATAATTTTCTAGCTGTGTGTTATGCTCAATGTTTCCATGACCTTTTGGTCTCTCTTGCATGCAGAGTACCATTGATCCTTTCTTGGCCAGAGATGGATCTCGGAAAAACCTGTATATGTGCACAAAATTCTCCAACGGGCAACATTTTCAGGGAAAAAAGAAACCAGAGTTTCTGTTCCTCTGGTTTCCCAGGAATAAATACTGTGATCTTGTGAGTAACTTCCTTCTGGTTCTGATGTCTTCTATTGAAGGATGTTTGATCCTAGATGAAGTTTGTTTCATAAACTTCAGCAAGCCAACACATCAGTCCCTCACCTGTAAGATAGAAATACCTCTGCTTTACAGCTTTTCTCTGTTTTGTCAGTTTATACTGTGGTCTGTTAAGGATAGGATGTTCTCTACTTATCATTTGTATTTTACTAGAACTATTAAGGTTTCATCATGATCCCTAACTATAGTGCCTTTCTACCCAGCAGTACTGACAGCTGCAAGCTGACATCTTTAGGCTCCATGTTCAGCAATTAAAAAGATGTTTAATATCAACTAGCTGACCTAGCTAAGAGAAGATTCCAAAGGACAAGATATGTGAGGGATCCTCTTTAGAAGTATCTTAGTTACTTAAATCCCCTTCCATTCACAACTGTAAACCTCACCTTGCAGTTAAAAGGACATTACTCAGCATGGTTTGTCCTCCCTCTCAAAAAAACCCCCACAAATAGCAAACTGAGGACAAACTGAGTGTCCTTTTTATCAAATTATCAATTAATATTCACAAACTTATGTTATAAACAATCTATCTTTGAGTCCTTCCTCCACCTGATATGCAGCAAAGCTTTGAATGCAGGTCAGTCATTTTACAAAACCTCTCACCCCACCAGTGGAAACTATTTCCCTCTGTAGTCCAGAAAAGGTAGATGACGGTATTGAGGGTATAAAACATGGATTAGACAGTACCCAACACATAAAATACTTTTTTTTTTTCTTCTGAATCCCATTGCAGCTTGGGAATAGCATGGACACCAGGCAACTCAGCACCATTGAGACACAGGTAATTCTGTTTCTGAAGGGTAGAAGACTTCTGGGGTAC